CTAGGAAAAAATCATGAAATTCCAAAGTTCCGTGAAAATTCAGTACAGAATTTTGTTATATAGTTTAATTTGTAATATGATATTAATAAACATTGTAACATTCCATTGAATTTTCACACTTTGAGTGACTGTTATTAAAATTCAGAAATATATTTACCTGAATTTTCTGGTCTTCTATTGATTTTTAGGGGAAAGTGGAACGGAAAGGTACAGCTTTTCCTGATTTTCCAACAGAACGTTCATCCGTTCATTTCGAATTATTTTTCCGGGAAAATTGAACCAAAAATTCACAAATCCGCCTCACTTTTCAAAAGAATTCTGGAATTTCGTTTCCATAAATCGCATTTCGCATCCCGCAAAATTCAAGAATATATCACCAGAATTTTCTCGTTCTTTACATGCGTAGGGAAAACTGGACGGAAAATTCGGAGTCCTGTCTGATTCTTGTCCGAAATTCTGGTTTTTCAATAGCCAGAGACTCCGAAACTTTTGGACTTTTCTTCAATATATATATAATATTATCTAAGAGTTCTCTGATTTTGCATTAATTTTTTGAGAAAAATGGGCTGAAAATTCCCAGTTTTGCCTGATTTTTATGACAACATCCACATTGAATGCAATTATAGCGCGATAAAAATTGGGGGAATTTGGCAGTGAAAATTGAGGGAAAGATAGTGAAGAGTGAGAGTAGAAATCGGGCATGTTCTACTTGGCGAGTAGAACGAGGGATATAACGTCAGTTATGGGTGGTCCTCGGTTTGTTTAAAGTGCCACCATTTGTGGATCAATAGACTTGCATCACCAGTGGAGTAGAGGTCATGCTCTCCAATGTTGTACAAACCCTTGACTTCACCCTCCTTTCTCACTGGTGGTACAGCATATGGGTTTTTGTCGAGGTGTGTAATTCGAGGCCAAGTGCGAGAAGCGCTGGGCAAAATGACAGAATCTATTGACCTTTCGCGAGTACCCGCTGATCGAGAGTTTTTAATTGAATTATTGACAATCGTCATGATCCTCGATGAGTTGTAGAGTTCCTTATTTATCGGGAAAATTCAGCGGTTGAGCAGATCATAAAATAATACATGAGACAATTCAAAGAAATTAAACATGTTAAAGAAACAAATTGTTAGTTCAATTGAAACGATCTGCCTTTCTATTCTCTTTTACACAACGAGCAATTAACTTTAAATATAAACAATTGGTCAATAGTCAAAAGTTTTGACTATCATTCATTATCAATAAACAATAACTCCTGTTTGCAAATGGTGAATTATTTCTTCTAGGAGTTTAATTCTCCTTTTTGAAAAATGAAAACAATCATTTCATTAAAAAAAAGAATCCAAATTTAATGAAATCGAGTTTTCTGGAATTTTTTGCTGTTCTCAATAATCTCTGAATTTACCAGTAGGGTAAAAGGGCGACTTTTAGTCAATTTAAATCCTAGCTGAGCTATCAGAGAAAATGTCTGAATCTAAACGAACCCTTGCCTCTGTGCTCATTCCATTCTTCAAAAAAGGTTCTCATCGTGGAAAAATGTATTCACCTTTTTTAGATTCGAAGAAATTCCCTGGGAAATGAACTCCAGGCGCGATTGATTCGAGCTTTCAAAAACACCTACCTTTTCTACCAAAATCATAAAAAATAAAGAATACGAATTGCAATATCAGAAATTTTCCAAAGATTCTATCCTCTTTTAACTAGAATTACTGATTTTTTTTTTAGAAACTGTTGATCAGTTTATCATTAATTAATAACTCCCGAAATGTCATGGTCACGATTTCTCGAAACTTTTTTAAATTCATAAAACGTTAAAAAAATCATAAGAAAATTACTGCACGCTTATGAAACTTAATGAATCATGAGATAATGTTAAAATTCAAAAACTATATTTCATCGGATCAATCCGATCAACAATTTGTCGAAAAACTTAAACAACCGGTAACTTTGGTTACAAGGAGACAGAACATCTTTAATGAAAAAAAAATTGAAAATGCCATAACAGATTTGAGAAATTAATCTGTCGGTTTTAGAACCCTTTAATGTAAAGAGGAGTAATTCCCAATGGAAATTGCCAGTTTATATTTTATTTCCAATGGAAATACCAGGAAAAATGAGAGAAATTGCCACCAAATTGCGAAAATAAAAGCAAAACATGAATGTATCATTATATAAATTTGACCTGAATAGACGAGACGAGTAATTGTAAAAAATCAGTGCAGTACCCGAGCTTTGGGAGAATTGGCAAAGCACGAACAATATATCCCGAGAGACGCATAAATGCCGAGGGCTCGGGGAAAATCAATGTCGTGGCAAGTTGCTTCCAACAGTATAGCTAAATCTCTAACTGCATTCGTTATGTACATATGTACGGGTATAACTACTTATAAAACCTTTACTGAGCCTTGGCAACTATAAAAATGAAATATAAACTATAGAAATGTCTGGGCAAGGCATTTCCCAAGAGATTTATGTTTTCGATAAATGAAAATTTTCAGAGACCTCAAAGCTAAATTGACAAATCGATGGAAATCGTTTTCTATTTTTCCTTTCAGGATTTTCATCGAGTCGCGAGGACGCATAAGAAATTAATCTTTTTCACTAAAAAAATTAATGAAGCTATTCCCTTTACTTTTAAATTCATCATTATTCTTTGAAAATTTCATTTCTGATCATTGGACATGTCTTCGTCTTCTGCTTACATTTTTATTATTTATATTTTTACAGTTTTCTCATGGGTAAATTATCAACTTCATCATAATTCGAATAAGAATCTGTATAGTCTAAAGCTTGTTTATTTATTTCTGCTGAGTCCATTGTGATTAATTTTTTTATATCAACCGAATCAATTTCACGAATTGAATATAATGTCAGTTATCAGTTAAAACAGTTATCGAATTTTTCTTGAACATGAAGAAATTAGGTTCCCCTGAAATTGCTAGACATCCTTAATTTCCCGTGAAATCATTCAATTTTAGAAAGCAATTTCGCGATGTCGGATAAAAATTAATGTAACCAATATCCGGTGGCAGGATCTGACGAAGATTTCTGAGATAAAATTGCTCAATTGAAGAAAAAAAATGTCTAGAAGTGCAGAGAGGCTGAAAAATATTGAAGTCTGATGAAGATATGTCTCCAGCGAAGTTTATTTCAATCTCAAATAGTCTGATATATTCTAAAAATCTTATACCCAATGTTTTATCTCCTCGGGTATTTCCCACAGGTGCAGATGAGGTGACAAGATAGCCTGAGCTATCGATCCAACCACCACCATCATTGTACATTCATGTTATTACGGGTAAACCTGCGATAATACTCACCGTTTGAAATATCATACGCGTTGATATTCCCTCATCATCATGTGAAATCGTACGATACAAAATAAAAGAGGGAAAAAATGGAAATTGGATGTGGGAGAATTATCTGACAAACTGAACGTGCTTGGATTACTTTTCCATGTAAATAGTACTGAGTTTTCATTGGGAAAACTCTAGTTTAGAGTGAAAGCATTTTCAATTTCACGGTATGAAGCTTCCCTGATCCACGTGTACTTACCAGAAAAGGTTTTATGGGAAAATGAAAACTGGAAATTAGACATGGGGGATTACTAGGGGAGATTCAATTACAATTAGACTCATCTCTAATTGTTATTTCACAAGTCACTCTAGAAAATTACCATTAGATTCCCCTTGAACTTCTCTGTACAGCAATTATCGAGATAAAGGGAAGGTTGAATGATTAAAAAAAAATTCACACAATGAACATTATGAGTGATCGAAATCATATTGTCGAGGAAGTTTCAATAAAAACATTTTAGAATATCTCTACTCATGATAATCTTGGAAATAATTCTGGTTAAGGAATTATTGTCGATATCTTTCCATTTTTCATGTTTTTTCTTGGCTAATTTCTGGGAAACCGTGGATCAGATTTTTTAAAAAGACGTACCTTTTTTTCCTGTTACTTATTGCAACATTATTTTAAAAATTCATAAAAGTTTAATACAACGTCCGTAACGCGAACAGCACAACGAACAGTTCGGTAAAATACAAGCAAAAATCGTATTTCATCGGTTTTTATGGAAAATTCGTAAAAAGTTTCGTAAGGTCGATAAAAAGAACATAACTGCCCCGGATTTTTTACTGGACCTTTATTTCGACGTGTGGATTACCAAGCTTTCACGTAATTTTCATTGTACTTTTTCTTTTCTCTTGACGGATTATTGACGATATGACTGTACTTTGACGATTTATTCTGTTGAAATCCTATTCTATGTTCGCTGAACGTCAAAGCTTTCTCTCGAACTTGAATTAGCTGTTCATTTCGTACTCAGGATAGATTTTGCAAAAGTAAAAAATATTTAAAACATTTACTTAAAAGAAAATAGTTGGAAAATGATTCAAAAACATAACAAAATCAATAAACCTCATCTTTCCGTATTCTTCAAATTATATCCGGAGTTCCGTTGAATATATATTGCCAACTCAATTTATATTAGTATATATTATATAAGAGTAGTAGCCATAAAAAATAATAGTTCATCCAAGAATATCAATTCCCTTGAAATGTAAATATCTCCGTACATTCACTTCTGGCAACTAAATTTATTGAGAAGTAATTATTTCTCGTAATTATTTATTACTAGTAATTATTTCTCATACACACCAGTACGTGAGGGGTTCGAACATAAATATTCAGTAGAAAATATATTTCAAATGCCTGAATATTTATTGACCGATATAAATGACTTTAACACAATTCCATTACCAAATGTGGAGATTACAAGTCTGAGAACTATTGGATGTATCATTCATGTCCCCTAGGAAAAAGGAAAAAAATCCTTGAATATTCCAGCGATTTGCACTTGATATCCTCGTCTCCTCCATTTTCCACTCGACTTCCTACATTACACTTGATATACTCCACACATACAGACAGGAAAATGCAGTGACCTGTGCAAACCTAAAGATTTTGAATGAAAACCACAAATAAAATATTTGTAGAGACTGATAGCTGAATTGAACAAGGAGCAAGAAGCCTTTATCGCTGGAAAGACCAATGAAAAGGGTGAAGCAGTGGCTCCCTGGGTTGGAGCTCCAAACGAGGATGCGTTGCGTGAGGAATGCCTGGCTCTTTCAACCGTGAGTTATATTTTATGGATGTTTCATTATTTCATAATGTTTGCTTCGAGTTAAATCCGAGCTCCGACACATCAACTTTATGAGAATGCACAGCATCTCCAGAATTCCTTACGATATTGTATCCAGAGACTAGGGGAAAACTGGAAGTATAAATCTCTTGAAGAACTGGGAAACCAAAATACCTGAATTTTTCATATTAATTTGTTTAAGGATCGCCGTAACTTTGTGAGAGCACCACCACCTGGAGTTGAATTCGAATGGGACTTTGAAGCTATTCAACCAACTGCACAAGCTACACTCGCCTTAGATCCTAATCTCGAGACGATGAGGTTCGAGTTAGTACCAAAAGTGTAAGTACTCAAATGATAATTGTTGATTAGTTTTGCCCGAGGGTAATTCTTGGAAAAAGCATTATCATAATGATAATTATTGATATCCCCTGAGAGAGGACAATCTCCCTTATAATTCTTCTCGTAAACAGACTAGGTTTTTCTTTCATCTGCAAAAAGACCCTGTGAATGAGATTGAGAAATTTAAGCTGAATATAATAGAAATGAAATGGTTTGTAGAATTAATATTCACTTTGTTGAAATTCTGGAGAATCTCCAGTTTCATTTCATTTTAATGGAATACTCATTCGGAATTGCCCTTTTGATTCAAAGTCAAGTTCTTAGCCGCAATCTGCGGTGATGCTCATTTTGCGAACATTTATTATAAACTCTCATCTTTCATTAGTCTTTATACTGATGTAATAATGTTAAAACTTGACATTTGAAAGATGAAAAAGTATTTTTTCTTCAACGCAAAAGTGTAAACATATTCGAACCATTCGAACCATTCGATACAGCCTAATTTACCGATATCCACATATGACCATTAATTAAACGACATTGATACAAAGAGCAATAAAATATGCAATCAATATTGAGAATTACATGAGTTACTGTTAGCTCAGGTCATCAAATCTGTTATTCCCCATGGCTTTTTACGAATGGCTCTCATTGAATCCATTTCAAGTTTATGATGCAACTCTTTAGCAATAACTGAAATCCATTAAAAAGAACTGAAACCATCGCTTCGATGTACGTGACCAATTGATTGAACTGACATCCAAATCTATATTGTCCAATTGAACCGAAAATACAATAGAAATTATAGAAAATAGGAAAATGCATCTGTATTCCAAGAATTTTCTCCCAGAAGATTCTGTTCCCCTCTAACGTTTGAACATGTATTTCAGTATCACTGAAGAGAACTTTTGGCGTAATTACTTCTACCGAGTATCCCTCCTACGTCAGAGCCATGAATTAAACACCTTGGCCAGCCAAGCAGAGAGTAATCCCAATCAAAGTTTGACATCCACCGGTAGCATCGATCATACTCAAGGTAAATCACAAGTCTCCGTTCTGAGCATCTCCTCAAACACGTTAAAGTACTTTGGAGAATACCTGCATTATTTATTCAGACCTGTGTAGTTATCATCTTATTTCCAGCTTTTGTCGCACTGTTTCCACACACTGTTTCCACACTTGTGTCAATTAGCACACGTTGTCTCCCCTCATCACTCGATGTTTCGTCTTGCATTAAATATTGCTGATTCATTCATTCGGGATATTCTCTATTTTTTTTTCTTGCAATACCAAAAATTAATTGGTAATATTACTATAGAAATTCCTCAGTAAAATTCTCATTCACAAGACGAATCAATTTCTCTTTTCCATGAAAAAACACCACAAAATTCATATCCACCTGCCTAAAAGTTTCATCCTAATTAATATAGTGTCGAGCAATATGATTATCTCACTTTGAACGTACCACAATGAATTTTCTCTGTCACAACGCGAACCAGAGGAATGAGCTTTATCGACAACGGGATTACAACAAGTTTAACATCACGTCAAATAAAAGTAGCATCTCCAAAGGTTTGCAGTAACAATATCAACAATAATCGTTCGATGCAACGTTGATGTTGATTGAATGAACTAAGGCAGTTTTAGTTGTTTTCAATTAGTATGGCTGAAGTAGTTTAGATCTGCAAGTATGTGTTGTATTTGTCGTACAGCCCGAGTAGAAAGCACCAAGGAAACCATTCAAGATGCTGAGAAAAAATCAACGAGTAGTGGTGCCCATGAGTTTGTGTCTGACAGTGTGAGGGCTTCAGATACTGACATAGAGGAGGTCAGGGTGGGCATGGAAAAGCTTGGTATGAAGCCGAAGAAAGGTCAGTATCAATAAAATCGATTAATAGAAACAGCCGATTACTTCTATTACTTCATGGCACATCGTTATTTTTCTCATCTCTAAGCCACATGACACTGAACACTATCAGAAATTAATTGGACTGAGGACTATTGTGGCTTTCTAATAAATACTCAATACACACATTCAACTCCAATTAATTATTAATAATAAAAACGAACTCCTGGATGAACGAATTATAAATATGGATCATCACTTGAATAAAAACATTCTTGGTACTATCGCCATCACTACTCACTTGGCTCCATAATTGAGGTTTAATATCCCACTGGACTCGTTGATGGATCCGACCACCGAGTGCTCTCATTGAAACTATTTCCCAGGATAATTCGTTAAAGTTTATCCCTCGTTGAGCTCTCCACATTACCCAAAAGTTTCTCGTAAACGATCCTTCACCTCTTAATTCTCAGAAATTAATCAGCCGATTCGGACTGGGTCCAATTACACTCGTAAGTATGTACGTGGTTTTATGTACAATGAGAAACAGCACGCTGATAGCATCCACTTAGACTCTGTACAACTCATTCCCTGGATTTAAACTACTGTTGCTTACTCGCTGTATCTATGCCGAACAAAATTCTCCTTGTGCACCACCATGTTGACACGTGTTGTAAAATTTGATAGACAATCTTGAAGATTTTTCCAAGAAATTCTAGTTTTATTCAACCGACAATATTTTTTCATTTAGAAATCAATGATTCAATCGTGTTCAATCTGTTTTTTATTTGATTGAAATTAATTATTTGATTGAAATTAATTATTTGATTGAAAAAAGTCAATGGCTCTTCATTTTTCTTTGTAACTTGATCCACGAAAACTTTCCACGAGATTTTCTTTTGCATTTTTTATAACAAAAAAGTTGAAAAGATTCTCCGCCAAATAATAAATCATTTCTTTGGAATATCTTATAGAAATAACTAGAATAAATTAACCTTTTTCATTCAAATATCTCTCTAAAAAAATATACAGCGATATTGCATACATTTCGTTAAAAAAATCGTGATTACAACTAGAATTTTGAAAAGTTAACTAATAGTTAACTTTTCAAATAGTTAACTTTTGAAAACCGGAAATTAGCAATCAATTTTTTAATTAAGTTTATCGTATTTCCTTTTTTCTGGACATATTGGTAGAGTATTTTTATTATAATAATTTAAAATGTTATCCGTCGAATTCTCCACGACCTGAGAATTCCTGAGGTAAAACATTCAATACAGATGATTAAAAAAATAATAGAATTTCTTGGAGTAAAGACTAGGATAGCTATGAAATTTCTGCATATATGGAATTAAAGGTAGCTTGAGTGTATCTATCAAACCATAACCCTAGTGCAGTCTGTCGAAAGTACAATATTGAATATAACGACGTTATAATGATTTTCAAACGAACAAATGAGAGGAAAAAAACCATTTTACTTGTATTTTGTCTGCAGCCTAAGAAGAGGAGAGTCCCGTGTACCATTAACCAAAGAACACATTAACCTCCTAGATACCATTCGTTTATAGCCTACGAGACATTCACTTTAGTTGACTAAAATCCAACTTTTCAGTTATATTCTCGCTACTTAATTATGACAATATCAATTATTCACGATTTTTAGTTGATTATATGACTCATACACACACAACATTCGTCATCAATTCCTCATATTTATTATAAAAAATAAGATACTATAGGATTCAGGGGAACGTCATGGCGATAAAATTCTAGACGATTCAATTGTTCATTGAATCACTGAAAGTTCTATAGTCTTTATTATCATTATTATTATATAGTCTCCAACGGGGCTGGATGAATGCATCTTGCGGAAGAGGAGGAAAATTTTAATGCAATAATATCTAGATGAATTTAGTTGAAGAACAAAAAAGAAATATAGTAGAAAAATCAGATAGCACGAGTAAGTGAGCGGAAGGGGGGGGGGGTATTTCAATTATTACTGAAACTGTTTGGGTAATTGATTAATGATAAAATCAAGCGATTAAAACTATTCGATTGACGAATAACAATTTGACTATTTGTCTGTCTGTTTGTCCGTCGTTTGTCTGCTCGTCTGTCTTCGTCGAGGAAATTTATGAAAAAAGAAAAATCTGAAAAAAAAAGAATTAATAAAGCATGAAATAATACTTTATCTCAAAAACTTCGTTCTCTTCGTGTTGTAAAATTGTAAGTAAATAATGATGAAAAATATAAGAAATTAAAAATGATGATCTTGATGATTGGAGTGAGGACGTTAATAGTTACCTAATTAAATTCGTTGAATGACAATACGTGGTTTATGGGGAGTTATTTGAACAAAGGGGAATGTTTTTAATGACACTATTGAGAAGAGTTTAATATTCGCAGCCAAACACGTAAATCCCCATTCCGTTGTCAATAAATTTTCCTTTTTTCACACGTGCTTGGCTGGTATTTTCGAATTCACGGATTTGGATGGGAGAAACGAGAGATGAAAAATTCAATATAAATATGTGAATATGATGAGTGATTTGTTGGTGATGGATTTAGTAATGGTTGGTGATGATATTTTCAATTTTCGAAGATTGATAGAAAAAATTGTTTCACGTGTTAGAAACCTATTGGTCCACTATCAACCGCCTGGACCAATCAACCAACCAAACTAAATAATGAATACGATAAATGAGGTAATTGTAGAATTAACTGCCTGAATGATCCATTTTCGTGATTACGTTTATCCACGAGTTTTCAATTATTATTTTTTTTTCATTCACAAGCATTCGTATGAACTTCCCTCATTATCACGCCTCATTATTATGACAATTATCGTACATACATACATACATCAAAGACACATGAAAAACACACCCAAAACCCTCTGGAAAACTAGCTACAACGCTGCTTGTCACTCTCCGCAGAAGAAGAATGGGAAGGGGAATTGGAGGCTGAACTCAAGGATTTCGAGATCGTACCAGGGGATGGAAAAAATACGTCATCCAATGACACTAAGGAAGACTGGGAGCAACAGATGGATGTACTACTCAATGAGGATGAGGATCTCAAGTGAATTATCACGATCGAGCAATCATTGACTTTTATTTACAACCATCGTGCTCAATTAATTAAATGAGTAATGATTTACTATTGATAATACAATCGACGAACTCCAAGAGCATCAGTCATTCTTTATGATTTTCCTTATAATTTTTTTCTCATAATGATAAACTGGAATTGTTTCGGTATTTTTGTTTTTTTTTTTAAAGCAAAATAAACCTGCTCGATCCTTAATATCTCTTAGGAAAACGGTAGGAGTCGGAGAAATCACGTCTCGTTTTGGAATCTGATAAAAATGCCTTCGACGTGAAAGAGAATCGATTGAATTTCACTCTGCCAATCTCGAGTTATTGACGATTAAAAACAATAAAACCATTAAAAATAGAGAATCATTCTATTTCAGTCTATCTCAACTCCAGAAGGAACTTCTCCCCAATCGTAAAATGAACATAAAGGAAACAAACAATGGCTTAAAAATAATGAATAAATAATGAGGATCTTTTAGCATTTGTCACCTGTCATTCATTATTATTGAGAATCGCACAAAAGGATAAAAGAAGAGATATAAATTTTTGTCACGAGTGCTGCGCCAGTCTCTGTACAGACAAAAGTGATGAATTACTATAGTCAAGAACCCATAGATTTAATGAATATATATCATAGTTGATTGTCGAATAAACTGGCTTGCGATAGCATCGCAGAGATCTGAATGTTGAATCGTTGATATGAATTATTGGGGAAATATTTTGTTAAAAAGAGAGTGCATTTGCCATCGAGGAGCACGTCTATGATCCATCCATTCCATCGATTCCTCATTTTCCATAATTTTTTAATAATTTGTAATTTATTATTTGATGATTGAAATTGTAGTGATGCAAGCGCTTGCAATATTCCATTATAAAATGACAGCTTTCGCGGATAATTAGAGGGATGGGTTCAAAAGCCTGTGGAGATGTCTTAGAAAGAGGCCTAATTGTAATGAAAAATAATAATGATAATAATGGTAATAAAACGTGATGATTTCAGCGGTAAATAATCACACGTTGGCCTCTAATCGATTTAATGACTTATCATTGAAACTGTTTTTGTGATTTTGTTTTCTTAATGTTTAACATCTGTTATCGCTACTCCTTTCGACATTTTGTGAATTTGATTGACGAACAAGAATATTAATGATTATATTATGATCAAGTTACAATTATAAATAATTAGTTTAATGAGTTAAAGTGGAGACGAGACACAATGTATTGAGTCATATCGGAGTTACGCTGTTACTTGTATTATTCAAATAATCTCTCGATTATCCTGATGAGAGGAGATGAATACATAAACATTTAAATTAAATATGATGAATTAATTAAGAGGATATGAATTATACATTCGGTACTTATGTATGTATATACACACCGTATATAAATAAATATATGTTGTTGAATCCATTGAAAGTATGATAATATATTGACTATTTAATGAATATAAGATAAATGATGCAGCAGATTAAATTTAATGCAACAGAATGGAATACTGAGGATAAATCAATTATTTAATTGCGATGATGTATAACAATAACAAACTCGTGTACCTCGTGAAGAAATAAAATAAAAATCGAAATAAGTTTGGCGTTGCATTCGTTTTTGCATTTACATATTGAGGAGAATTTTTTCGTCCGGTAGGCCCCGGACCTGACAGCGAAATCGAATTTCGAACAAAAACGTTTGTAATCATTTCTTCCATAGGATTGGCAGCATTTTTTAAATTCCTTCTACCTCGCCCGATTATCCTTAAGGCCCGGATGGAGGGATTTTTGCCCGACATGTCCCTAGGGAATTCCCTAGAAAAAACTAGAAATACGAGGGGGATACGAATAAATAGGATTGGGGGGGTGAATGGCTAAATTAGGGGTTGGGCAGATGCGTAAAGGTAGAGGGTGGCTGTAAGGATGAAGCTGGAATTGAGAAAGGGGTATGTGTATAAGCATGGTGTTTGTAGGCATGGTTAGGAACGAAATGAAGGGATGAAAATGGGATGAATGCTAGCAAAAAATTGGGGGG